GGGGGGGGGGTGCCGTGTATCTCGCGCGAAACAAGCGGCCGATTCCCCGACGGAGCCGCAAGAAGCGGGGCCGCGATGGAAAAGAAGTGATTCGTCGGGCGGACGACGGCGGTTCTGTGTTTCGAGGGTGAAATCGATAGCAGGTGGTGGGTCCCTGGAGCGGATCCGCCGGCAGCCGGCCACCCTCCAGCCATTTATTTATTTCCATGCGGTTCGTATGTCGGCCGTTGCTTCCTGTCCGCCTTCCACCCCCGCGACGCTCCCGTCCCGTTCGAACGAGACCGGGGGTGGCCGGTGGGGCGGCCAGGGGTTGAACGAAGCGATTCACCGCGGGCTCGTAAAATCCGCGCGCGAGACTCGAAATCCGTAATCACGATTCGCACCGGCCGACCGGCCGCGATGGAGATTCTCGCCCCCGGGGCCGCGAGGGGTTGTCGCGGAACGTGGCCGGGGTGGGAAAAAAAGAACGGTCCGGCCGGGCGGCGAGGTCCCGTGGAATCGAATTTTCCCCGCGGTCCCCGCCGGCTCTGATTATGTCGGACGATAAGGCCCGCGGGATTGCGCGCGTAAATAAATAATGAAACCCCGTCTTCGAGGGGATGAAACTGCGTCGCGTGCACGCGGATTGTTCGCCGAGGATTTATAGACCGGGTCCGCAGGATGTGGACACCGAAATCCACCCCTGGCTTTATTGTTGGAACGTCGCGGCTCGAATTAGCGAATTCGAATTTCGAATCTGCTCGATTAGCTAATTTTTATAATTATTGACAATGGGTAACTATAGAAATGAGGCGGCAAGGCTCGAATAATTGTATCTCATATTTCCAAATTTGATGGACAACCTGAGCATCAATTGGGGAGAATTTACTGTACCTCAGCGGACCTCCCCTCCTCCGAAAAAACGATTACGAAGAATAGTTCCCTGTTCGAGGTTGAAAACGGTACGTCTGCGAATAATTTTGAGCGGCGTTGGAATCGTGAGGCTTTCCTGATTAAAATGATACCAAACACGATATAATTTTCGTAAGATTATATTGATTTTTATGAGAAATATAAATATACTTTTCATACTAACATTAGCTTAAATATTTTAGGAAACCAGTGAAACGTCATCCTAGACGAAATTTTTATGTTTGTAGTTTATACACCCTCCGTATCGAAATGATTGTCTGATTTATAAATTTGCAACAAAATAACACGCGCCGTGTAATTATGTATATGAAATAGAAGTTAAATAAATGCTTATTGTACTCGTATAGCTGTATCATACTCGGTAAATGATATTTACGCCTTGAAATTAATGATAGAGCAAGTGTAAAACATTCTTTAAAATGCGACGTCTTGAACAACACAGTTATACTTTTTGAAAAATGTGTCATCACTACGAATTCAAAGCCGTAAAGAATCAGGGGTGGCAGGGCCCCGTTCCCCGCGCGCCGGCGGAGATAAATTTTTTTTTCATTTCGCATCGAAAAGGAGGAGGCGAAGGAGGTGGAGACATCTGTTCCGTCGGGCGGAGAAACGGCAGGCAGCCGCGCGCGACCGAGTGTCCCATTAAAAGGGAAGGAGGAAGGGGGAAGGGGAAGCCGTCCGACGCGGGAGAGAGTAGCCGAAGCCGTGGCTCCGTCTACGTCGACGTCAACGTCGCAGCTTGCCCTCCGGTCCGGTGGGCGGCGGAATCGTCAAAGACGAATCCAACTCGATTATTTTCTCTTCGGAGTGGCGGAGCCCTATTCCCGACTTGTGTTCCCGCGGTGACGCGAAAACGATTACCACAATTAGATGAACCAACAGCCCCGACGTCCGAGAGCGAGAACGGCAACAACAGTCTTTATTTACGAAGGTCTTACTTAAAGGCGCGGCGCCGAGAACCGGTATCCGGCCGCTACGATGCCGCGGGCCACCGCCGCGCTTTGCCTCTGCAACAATATTTTTCCTCCTTTTCCCGCCGGGACGGGATCTAATTAACCCCTCATTACCGCTCGCCGGTCTCCGATGTCCGGCCCGTCCCGTATTTATGTATTTGTTAGCAGCGGCTTACCTTCAAGACAAATCCGGACACCCTCACGCCGTTCCGCTTTCATCTAATTCGTAAAAAGCACCGGGGTTCGGCTGTCTCCCCTAAGGGCCCACCTCGTGCAAAGTCGCGCAAACAGCGTCTGTTGACGCGACGCTCAGAAAGCTGGCGTTCCTACGGTAAGTGTGGTTATTACCATGGTTTTTCAGGGAAGGCGAACTTTAACAGAGAAAATAAGACGTTTTACGGTAATAAATTGACTTGTGCTGTGCCTATTATTCTTTAACTTGGATGCTTACTTTTCGCAAAATATTGGATCTTCGAAAGCACAAATTTCATTGAGAAGCATAATGTAAATAAACTATACGTGCGCATATACATATTATTGCGAGCCAAATTGGACAATGACATAACTTTCTTTAATTTTAACATTTTTAAACTGATTTCCTTTTTAACATATTGCTGTGATAGTTTTCTGATTGAAATGAGACCAAACATGATGTAGTTTGGACAAATATTTCTGATCGCTCAAAATAAGATTAATCACTCTATATAATATGTTAATATTATATAATATATTAATAAATATATTATAAAATATAATAATAAATAAATAAATAAATAAATATATATATATATTATATATATAAATATATTATAAAAATATTATATAATATATTAATAAATATTAATGACTCAACATATTGGTGAGATTCTTCCAATATGTTGAACAAATTTTCATGTATAAAAAGTTAGAAATAAAAAAGTTAAGTCATCGTTTTTATTCTAGCACTACAATGTATTCATAATAATATACACCGGTTGCCGCCGGTGTTGGTCAAGTTACTATGCGCCAAATTATTAGTAAATGTTAGTAAATAATATTTGAGAATAAATGATAGTGACAGTGTACGTCGATCTTGTATCAAAGTAACGATTACTTTATCTAAAAATAACGCTAAAATGAATGATTTACTACTAATTACCGAGATATAAATGCCTTTCGAATCAGCGTTCAGAGCTGCCGTTAGAGTATTTCATAAGACTCAACGTTTTACATCGTATTATATTTTATAATCAACGTTTTCATAAGCTTCCTAATATCAAAAGTCAATAAATGAATTCAAAATGCGATTGCTGTTACTTGTATGTCATAAATTATCAATATTAAACACACACAAAGAATTACGAAATTCATTTTTAGAAGATCACACACCATAAAATGTTAGATTTTGTTACTTTTATGAAATTACCGCAGCTTTTGAGGCGTCCGCAGTAATACCCACACTTACCCTACCGCTTTTCATTCCACTTTCTACTGTATTCTTCAGTTTATAGGTTAAGTCTTCGTTAGGTCGCGGGTTGAGCCCGCGTTCACTCTGGGTTTGGCGGCAAAATGCAAAGAACCTAGCACCCATAGGATCATTGGACATAATTTGATCAGTTTAGGAATGAACACTGTACAGATGCGTTTAATCGGTACACCGAATAAAGTACACCAACTTACGGAACGAAGCTGCACGTCGGACCAAATCATTTCGAATGCTGGATGCGTCGTAGAAAAATTGATTGGCCGGAAATGAAACGCTCGCGTTCGAAGAACGAGAAAGCGGCGAAGCAGAGGAGACACGACTGTCAATTGCCGTGCGCCGGCAGTGCCATAACCGTCAAGGTCGTTTCTCGTTCCGAAGAGGATTAGAAAGGAACAAGCGGGACGTTTCTCGATTGATTTATTCATCGACTGTCCAGGCTCGAGCGGCCCGCGTCTACGGTATACGGGATTCGACACGCGACCCGATCCGATTCTACGACTTTTTCTCCCTGGCGGCCACGAGTGGAGCTCGAATTGCCGGCACTCGTTGACAAGGTACGCTGCCACGCGATGGATTTATACGAGACGAGACGGTTAGCGGCACGATATTCGTGTTGCCAACGCTGAAGTGTCTGCAAAGGCTCGCCGGAACGGAGTCGAAGCTTGGGAACGCCGCCGGGTGGTGGGGACACTCTCGGAACTGCTAGACCCAGCCGACGGGGTCTCTCTTTCGGGGTTGGCGACCTTGAACGGCCCATCAAACGCGCCCACTTATTCCAGGTCCGAGCACGTAAAACAATTTTATTTGTTCCTTTCCGTGCACGGTAGTGCACACTCGAGCGGCCGCAGTTCGTTCCGAGGATAAGTGAGGTTAAGTGTGGCGGCGCGGTTCGGCGACCTGTGCGTTCTAGGGTATCCTGACGTCGGTCTTGCACTGTGCAAAGCGTTACACTTTGTCTTGTTTTCTGGTATTTACTTCATAAAGAAACCCAGCACGTGAAACGTTCTCAAATTTACAGTTCTCGCGAGCGATTTTTCAAATGGCTTCGATGCCTTCAATACGCTGTAAGTTAGGTTTGCATTAGATATACGGCTTATTTCCTGGTTATCCTGGAAACTAAGAGAGGTCGCGATTTTCTCCGAAGGAAAAAGTTGTTCAAAACATCGATCTCTATAACGTCATCAAATTTCCTCAAAATCACTTGATGCGGGGTATTCAGCTTAAAATCAAATGCTAGTAATATTCCAAATAAAATTTTGAAAAAATATATTTTTGTAGTATTTTTTACGTAGAATCGAATTATGTACAAATTAATTTTCCAACATCCATTTTCGAGTAAGGAAAACATTTGTTTTGTGAAAAGATTATCGAATTGCAAAATCCGTACACAATTTTCTTCAATATCACGTGCAGAAATCGTAGCAAAAATTTCAGTTGAAAACTTCAGTTTTGTTCGAGTTGTTCTGGTTACATTGATTACATGAGCATTAATTAACTGCACTGTAGCTGGGGTCTCGTACATCACCAGAATTTTGCGGAACGAAATTACTATTGCTATCTGTTGCAGTACGTTGCTTCTCCCAATAATGTCGCCATCGTTTCCATTGTGTTTGTTATGATTTATTTCATTACGTTTCTTCCCATTTCTTACCCGTTTTTATAATCGAACACATCCCAAATTAGGGAAAAACTGAAATCTCACAAAAGAAAAAATGAAAATGAAATTTCACAAACTGAAGTCAGTTTTAAACATTCCACTCGTGTTTACATAGTATAGAATATAGGTCAAAGTCAGTAGATTCGACAAAGTATGTCCATATCTAACACGCATCGCGTGTCCTGCACATTCAAATGTCTTCGTTAATTTTATTTATGTGAAAAAATGTGTCCTAACAAATTTGTTTGGTTCAATAATTTTTTCGTTGTTGGAAAATTAATTCTTACATAATTCGATTCTGTGTAAAAAATACTATAAAAATATACCTTTCTTTTAAATTTAATTTTTAAAAAATTATTGGTATTTGATTTTCAGCTGAATGCCCCCCTCCCCCTTAAGATTATAAATAATTACCCGCAGTTCTGCGGAACTTTCGAAAATTCTCCGTAAGAAATTCAATTCGACTCGCAATGACAACTGCGTTACTGCGACAATTTAATAAATCAACGAAGCAGGCTCCTATCTAGCAGCGCCGCATACAAAGGTCGACGGCTCGCCCCCCCCCCCCCCGAAGCTACAACTTCCTCCGCCGTATAATTTTGCATGCACACACATCCCTGGTTTCGCTGTTCAGCCAGCGAGCTAGAATTTCTCCGGCTTCGAAAGAAAATGAGTTTCGCACTCGATTTTGGGAAACGCGGCCGCGGCCACCGTTTCCCACGGATCGAACTCTGCACAGTCAGGTGTTGGTGGGTTCCCGGCGCTACGATCTTCTGCCGAGAGAAAGGAACGAGGCACGAGGGACGTCCCCGGGTTTCGATTATCGTCGATAACTCGGCTGGATGTATCCCTTCCGAGCTATAGCAGTAGTTTCCGGAAATTCGCTTCGCCCCCGGGATTATCCCGTCCCGGGAATTCCCATCTCGACGCCATGGTTATGCTCCCTTCCAGCTTCCCAGCCCGCCCCTCTCCCCACCGCCCGTTCAACCGTTACTCGCGCCCGCTACGAACCCCTTTTGTCTTCGTGTCCCGCTACGATTTGTCCCGAATTACTTCGTCGGGAATATTACGTCGTCTCCTCGTCCTTTTCCGCCGCGATATCACGGCGCCCCCTGTCTCACGGGCTTACGCGTACCTAACTTCACTTTTTGACGTGCCACGCATCGATGCGTCCTGGCCGTTCCGCCGGCCGCTTTGTACGGCAGCCTGTCACGGCGTGCTCGACTTCTTTTTCGGTCGATTTGATTGCTCCTCTCTGGAAGTTGCCGTCTCTTCCGCGATTTAATTACGTTGGAAATAGCTGGCTGTTTCTGCAGCTCGTCTGCCACGTCCGATTCGATAACAAACCGGCGGATGTTGACGTTCAGATTCCGGGAATAAGATTCGAGGAGAAATCGATTTTCTCTGCGACTACGCGCGACACGTTCGCGCCAGTTTACAGAATTGGGGGAGATTATTTTTGCAATCCTCGTTCCATTGGCATTCGCGTCTTAAATGCGCAAACATCCGCGAGCTATTAGCGTCGGCCAGAGAAGCGTCGTTGATTTTAACTGAAAAGCCAAAGGCGATGTTTTTTTGTTCATTAAAATTCTTATGGTTTCAGGATATATTCAGGATTACCTATTTTAAGGCGAATATTTATTGCACACACGAAGCAATGGTTGCAACAGAAGAAATACAATAGCGATTAGACCGCGAATTTTATGCATTTATAAGAAAAATAGGTATGCGGAGACATCGCATTTTCAACTCGCTGGAATTATTAAAGATAAAAAGAAATATCTATTAGGTTCGTGTTTGTTGCAATCGACAATGATTTTATTCTTCAATTCTGCACGAAGATCCGTGGTCTAGTAATGATATACATATGTACATTTGTCGCTCTAAAATATGGATAGTAAACAAAATATCATATACAACAGTGAATTCGCATTGAAATAAAACGTTACGCTCGACCGATGTGGCCGTGACCTACATTGTCGACGCACTAACAAATTTGACGAGGTTAGGCTATTCGAGAATGCGGCACCCGATTCCGATAGCAGTACAATTTATTGTCGTCGACAGTTCTAAGTTCGAAATGACAGTTTTAGATAATTATTCGTCCATCGACTGTTCCAGAATGCACGTTTCCACCAAGATGGGAGGGCACCTGGTTTCAAAGCGGCGTCACCCATCCGATCATGATTTCGAGAAACGAGCTGTCCGGCAAGGGCAGGTGCCTGCACAACGAAGGCGACAAGTTCCTCTTGGTGAACGAGTGAGTACAGAATTATTTAACAGTCTATCCTCCTTCAAAGTAAAACTCGAACACTTACGTTTTCATACTTTACGAAGCGATTCATAACGTAAGGAACGGATTCGGAAAAACGACGAAATGTTTTTTATTCACTTTTGCGAAACTTCGTGTCGATTTAACATTTCACGTAGTTCGTGTTATTTTAACAACAGCGACGTTTAGTTTTAGGACAGTATTATATTTCTCGAACTAGTTTCAGCTGTATTTCATAAGTTGTAATAATTGATTGACAATCATTTCTTTACGCAGACGTATTTTAATCTATTCGAGTATCTGTTCCATCTGGATTCTGAAAATATCTTCTGCCTGGTTTCATTTTAATTGAATGGCGAGAGTATTTACATCTCTTTATTATATCACGGACTGTAGAATGATCATGTATTGCTATTTTTGCAATTTGCATCACTGATAACCTATCTCGAAAATGATTTGTAAAATATTTCAAATATCTTCTCTGTTCATTTTTAAATATCACGTTTCCAGTGTTCTAGTATCAATATTGTACTTTGCAAAAAGCAACAGATTCCTACATTTATCGAACACACACCGTAGTATAGCAGCAATGTGGATTGGGGTTTGCCTCCGTTTCGAACGAGAACAGTGTCACCAACCGTCCCAATTTCAGTTCGAGGTTAGGTTCCAAATGTTTCTCTTTTTAAATACAAAACGTAATTAAACTCTGGTTTCGTTCTTGGCGAAATCATATGAATTTGATCAGCACTTCACGAAACAGCTTCTATAATACATTCAGTTTAAATTTGTTCCATAGACTTACGAACCGCTTCATGAAACTATAAACGTCCGAGTTTTACTTCAAGCCACTGCCCTATCAAACTTCCTCTTCCCGCAGTTCCCGATAAAATCCGAGCAGCTTTCGAAAGTCCATTTTCAAACGCGAAAATCAACCTCCGTAAAAAGCAACAAATTTCAACGTCCCCCCGCGATTCGTGAACGGCCACTGTTGTCAACTGTCCCGGGTTGATTTTAGGTTAGTTCCATGCGTTACGAAAATCTCGGCCTCTTGAATGCAATTAAAGATCGGCTATGCGAACGTGTAGAGTATATACAGGGTGTTCAAAAATTATGGTATTTCCGGAAAATGTGGAGTTCTTGAGGTGATTTGAAGCAACTTTTTCCTTTGCAAAAATTTTTTTCGAGGCTTCGTTTAAGAGTTATTGAGGAAAAACAATGACCAATGCGGGACGAGCTCGCCTGGCACTAGTCGGCCGAGTCAATGAGCGGAACTGGGCTTCTTGCGCTCGTTGGCTCGGCCGCTTCACGCCAACCAAGCTCGCCTCTCATTGGTCACTGTTTTTCGTTAATAACTCGTTAACGATGCCTCGGAGAAAATTTTTGTAAAGGAAAAAATTGTTTCGAATATCCTCAGTAATCTCTCATTCCCGGAAGCACCATAATTTTGGAACACCCTGTATATAAATTCCAGCAGTACTTTACGAAAAAAACTGTTCCGTATTGTAAAAATCTTTTCCTCGGATCGCTTGGGAAAGCATGAAACTGTCCGAGATCGGCTCGAGGCCGGCGCGCTTCCAAAGTTGATCCCTCGGTAGCTCGAGTTGTCCTTGAAGATAGGGGGGTTAATCGTTCTGTGGCCTCGATGGTACTGATAGGGGAGGGTTTCCGGTAAAGTAGAAAAATCGCGTGGACGCGCGGAAAGAGCAGAGACAGCGGAACCGGCGGCAATACNTAACATTTCACGTAGTTCGTGTTATTTTAACAACAGCGACGTTTAGTTTTAGGACAGTATTATATTTCTCGAACTAGTTTCAGCTGTATTTCATAAGTTGTAATAATTGATTGACAATCATTTCTTTACGCAGACGTATTTTAATCTATTCGAGTATCTGTTCCATCTGGATTCTGAAAATATCTTCTGCCTGGTTTCATTTTAATTGAATGGCGAGAGTATTTACATCTCTTTATTATATCACGGACTGTAGAATGATCATGTATTGCTATTTTTGCAATTTGCATCACTGATAACCTATCTCGAAAATGATTTGTAAAATATTTCAAATATCTTCTCTGTTCATTTTTAAATATCACGTTTCCAGTGTTCTAGTATCAATATTGTACTTTGCAAAAAGCAACAGATTCCTACATTTATCGAACACACACCGTAGTATAGCAGCAATGTGGATTGGGGTTTGCCTCCGTTTCGAACGAGAACAGTGTCACCAACCGTCCCAATTTCAGTTCGAGGTTAGGTTCCAAATGTTTCTCTTTTTAAATACAAAACGTAATTAAACTCTGGTTTCGTTCTTGGCGAAATCATATGAATTTGATCAGCACTTCACGAAACAGCTTCTATAATACATTCAGTTTAAATTTGTTCCATAGACTTACGAACCGCTTCATGAAACTATAAACGTCCGAGTTTTACTTCAAGCCACTGCCCTATCAAACTTCCTCTTCCCGCAGTTCCCGATAAAATCCGAGCAGCTTTCGAAAGTCCATTTTCAAACGCGAAAATCAACCTCCGTAAAAAGCAACAAATTTCAACGTCCCCCCGCGATTCGTGAACGGCCACTGTTGTCAACTGTCCCGGGTTGATTTTAGGTTAGTTCCATGCGTTACGAAAATCTCGGCCTCTTGAATGCAATTAAAGATCGGCTATGCGAACGTGTAGAGTATATACAGGGTGTTCAAAAATTATGGTATTTCCGGAAAATGTGGAGTTCTTGAGGTGATTTGAAGCAACTTTTTCCTTTGCAAAAATTTTTTTCGAGGCTTCGTTTAAGAGTTATTGAGGAAAAACAATGACCAATGCGGGACGAGCTCGCCTGGCACTAGTCGGCCGAGTCAATGAGCGGAACTGGGCTTCTTGCGCTCGTTGGCTCGGCCGCTTCACGCCAACCAAGCTCGCCTCTCATTGGTCACTGTTTTTCGTTAATAACTCGTTAACGATGCCTCGGAGAAAATTTTTGTAAAGGAAAAAATTGTTTCGAATATCCTCAGTAATCTCTCATTCCCGGAAGCACCATAATTTTGGAACACCCTGTATATAAATTCCAGCAGTACTTTACGAAAAAAACTGTTCCGTATTGTAAAAATCTTTTCCTCGGATCGCTTGGGAAAGCATGAAACTGTCCGAGATCGGCTCGAGGCCGGCGCGCTTCCAAAGTTGATCCCTCGGTAGCTCGAGTTGTCCTTGAAGATAGGGGGGTTAATCGTTCTGTGGCCTCGATGGTACTGATAGGGGAGGGTTTCCGGTAAAGTAGAAAAATCGCGTGGACGCGCGGAAAGAGCAGAGACAGCGGAACCGGCGGCAATACGTTCGCGGGAACGGATAGAGTTTGTCTCGAGGGCTGTAAGGGATTAAAAGCGAGGGTTTGTTGCGTGGGCCGCGGGGGCGGCTGCCGCGGGAGGGGCGGGTCGGAGGGGACCCCGTCTACGTCGTCGTTTCGCCGCGTAATGCTCGTGTCACACGAGCTGCCCGAACTTTTCGTGGAGATTCCTATCGGGTCTCGACTGCAAAGTGTCCGATCGATACGCCGGCGAGCGAGATAAAACGGAGGAAAGAAAGGAGGAAGAGAAGAAAAAAAAACGAGTGGAAGAAGGGGGGGAAGAAGAGAAAAGGACAAGCAGAAAGACCGCCGGAAGTGACGAGGGGCGGGGGACTAAGGCGCCGCGCGACACAGCCCACGGGCCTGGAATTCGAGCGGCGAATCCGCCCGTGAATATTATCTTTGAATTTGAATATCGAGCCCGATCGGATCAGCCGCAAAGGAAACCGATGGAACCTCGACGCCGGCGAGTCTGAGCATCCCAGTGCTCGTTCCGCTGCACACGATTAACGCGCTCGCTGCTCAGCCACCTCCTATAAAAGCGCCGCGGAATCGAAGCTGTTTGCTCGCCGCCACGCGGAAATCGAACGCTCGACTTCCATCGATTTTTGCGAATTTTTCTACATCGGTACTCTAGCACTTAACCATCCGCTGTCACACCGCGGCGAAACGACCCACATTTTTGCTTTCGCCGAAGTTATATTGCCGTCGGAAGAATTAAATTAACAATTAATTCAATATGCTTGGCATTCAATATGCAAGCTGTGGTAAAGTATATTTTCATACCATCGACTGTACTTCTGTCCGGGACTGTACTCTTCTCCTTCGTCAACATTTTCATAGTATTCTCTACTGTTGTCGTCGTCGTCGTCGTCTTCTGGACGGTTGAAAAGTGTTCGAATGTTTTGTCGCCTTACAAATATTTTTCTAGAATTTTCAAAGATCGTTGGACAACTCATTGGTTCGTTGATATTTTCCACGAGTATCGTTAATTCTCTCAGTGATTTGACTGTTGCAAAATACAGGTCGGTGGACATGGTAGATGTTAATTGGCCGACAGGTGTCGGCACTGAAACAAAAATGAATTAGGTTATGTTACATTTTACGAAACGCTGTTACATTCTGTAAATCATATCGCTGTCATCGTATTTGTTTCACACGGGGACCACAGTTTTCGTTCTTAATCAGTTCTCGAATAATTCTTTCGACAGTCACATCCGCAAGATTGATTGCTGAAACTTCGCGAGAGTATTCGTTTGTGTTAAGAGTAAACGAATGAAATCAGAATGTATATTTAAAATCCATTTTATTTAGATATACCGAATTACGTCTCTTCTACTTCTCGTAACTTTTAAACGAAATGATTTTTTAATAAACTCTTTGGTGTCATAGTAAACAAACGTCACATTTTTCATGTCGCTGCGCACATTTCAATAACTACGACTGTGAACTGAACCTCTGTTTCCAACCAGTGTTGCCAACTGCTTAGCTATATAATACTTTATAATTCTTAATTGTAACTGATTGGATCTGCTTTGAAGATACACATAGTTAGAAATAACGTTTAATAATGCAGAACGTCGAAATAACGTAAGAATGTTTACGCTTAATGCTACCATAGGAACTGACCAAACCGATTGCACTAACCTTAGCGTAATACATTAGCTTAGTTAGTTTCATAAGAGTCGTTGAATTGATTCATAGAATTGTTTCATTGTTTACAAAGAAATTACATTTTTTGTACGGAATTTTAATGTAATTGTTCACAACTACTACTATATCATTTTTGTAGAATGTATAATTTTTCTAAAACGTATAATTATTGTTAAATGTATAATTTTTATAGAATAGATAATTCCGTACATCTAAACAAATACTGAATTGTAAATTGAGAATTCTAACTTATCTATTTTCAACATCGATTTTTCATTAAGGATATTGGGTACGTTTTGCTGAGGAAAAGTAAAGGCGGTTTTTCGACGTGAGAAGCGAAACGAGGAAAGTAATGATGATCGCATGGCAAATGGGACGTTGCTGGTATACAGCATTTGTTTCGCGGAGTTCGATGGCTGAGCCTTGCGCGAGGTCTACGTCGCCAGTGGAACGAGAAGCCTTCCGTCAGAGGGAGCAGTTGATTCGAGAGGACTAATGACGCGGCGAACTTTCTTTCCGCCTTCCGCCTTAAATTGACTAACGTAATGGAACAAGTTTCGCCGCGGCGGTAACTTTCAGTCCCGAAGTTCAAGCCGTGCGCCGCGGATACACGATAAATCGTCTGGATTCCGGGCCAAGCGATTTACCACTCCCCCCAACCCGCGACCATTATCCAAATTTTTCGCGAACCGATCGACGAAAAATATCACGAAATTCATTTCGTTCGCGGCCTTTGTTCCTTCAAGCCTCCGAATGGAATCGAGTTTTTGATAATATGCGACGAGGAAAATTAATTCCTACAATTGGCTGAATTTTTTTATGGACATCAAAAGTTCGCATAACTCGATAAATATCAATTTCTAGATTGAAAATAATGAGAAATTTGCTGTTTGTTGAAGCATCGAACATACTATGATATGCAAAATAGAAGTTGAAAATTGATACTTTATCATCGAGGAGAAGCAACAGAACAAGATACTTTTGTCAGATTGCTGCTAAAAATGAAATTAGATTAAAAAAACACGGGACATCTGTGTGTGACTTCAAAGTTACAATGTATTATAGAGGACAAACTATAAATTCTAATCAAAACTATCATAAGCAGGATTTATGCAGGGTGTCTGAAAAATATCGAAAAATATATTGAAATATTGAAAAATATCAAAAGAGAGATTCTTAAGGTAATTTGAAGAAACTTTTTCTTCTGCGAAAATATTCTCCGAGGCTTGGTTAACGAGTTATTAATGAAAAACGCGGACGAATCAGGGAACGAGTGCGGTCAGCGCACCGCTACGTTGTCGCGTCACAGTCAATGCCGCGTCGCGCTCGCTGCAGCGCTGTGATTCATCCGCCGCACTCGCTCTCTGATTGGTCTGTTGTTTTTCCTTAATAACTCGTTAACCAAGCCTCGAAGAAAATTTTCACTAAGGAAAAAATTTCGCCAAATGACATCGGGAATCGCTTTTCTCGAAGACTCGACAACATTTTCAAATCGTTGAAGATCAACCTAGCCGTCCACAGTAAATCGACCAGTAAAAGGTATCTCCCGTTGCACTTTTTATTCAAAAGGGTAAAAGCAATCCAGCTTGGTAGATAAATCGAAAAATACAAGACGAATTCATTTTCAAGCTCGAACAATGAATTTATTTGCAGGCTTCTTCATTTAGAATATAGCCGGGATACTATTTTTCATTCTAGGCGGCGAAGGCAGGGCTTTATCTGTATTCAAACGTGCAAGTAATTTTCTATACGATCTGAGATTTATTCGAACGCGGAGATAGATATGAAAGACGAACACGATTTATCCTGTATCCGTGACTGTCTGAGAAAGCATAGCCTCCCGACGCGAGTTACAACCTCGGAAAATCCGAAAGACAAAAAGCTACGTACACTCTGTACGAAAAAACCCTTGCGTGGGCCGTTTGAATCCGAATAATTTTTTCAAAATTGCATCGGACGGCTTAAATGTTCTTTTCGAGAGGTTCGAAAAACTAGTTTACCGGACAATGAGCGAAGAAATTTTTCTAAAAATTGTAAGTTGTTGGAAACGACAAATAAATATTATAATTTTTATCCGAGCTTGTAACAAAAATTTTAACATTGTTTACCAAGTGACATCGACGATGTTTTTAGCATACGTGTACCTTAGTTACTGAGATCTAAAAATATTTAAATTATAAATATTTAAAAATATTTAGATTATAAATATTTAGAAATATTGAAATACTAAATATTTAAAAATATTGAAATACTAAATATTTAAAAATATTTAAACCTGTACTGAAATCCAACAACGTTGTTTTTGTTCCAGAAAATCCTGCTACCGTTGCGTGGTCATCCACGAGAAGCACTCGAACGTACTGCAGTATAAAGAAAGTAAGTAAAATTCGGCGTAGAACGCCGTTAAGTTCCCCGCTGATCCTGCTTCCCCCACCACACCGTTCCCACTTCGACGTCCGTCGACCCGGCAATAGTCAGTTGTCTCGTGCGATCGATAACGATCTCCCAGTGGCCCCGAGGAAATCCATTCATTAATTAGAATGCCGATCGGTAATTAAAAGCTCGAAGATGACGAGAAGAACTCCGTCGACGAAGAGTGGGGAGAGGAAAGGGAGCTGCGACGCGAAGAGGTGGGGCGACAAGGGGTGGGGGTGGGGGCTGCGCGCAGCTCCCGGAATAATTCTCGGCGAAGAACTTAACGACTTTCGTTCGTTGTGCAAACGGGAACGGCGTGGCTGTTGAAATCGGATGGAAGGGACGGCGGGTCGACGACGAGACGGCAGGGGGGTAGGGGCAGGGCGAAACAGGAGAGAGAAGATGGTTCTGCTAATTCCGAGCCGCGGGGGCCTCGTTTACAGCGGGAAAAGAAATCGAGAGCACTTCGCCGGATTCTATCCTGCAATCAGCCCCGTGCCTCGTTAATACGCCGTCAACGGAATGGATAGCGAAGTTTCTGGGACGTGATAATGGTTCTCGTTCCGGATATTTATCGAGGACCGTCGCGTGGGTCGTTGTAGATTATTGCACGATCCTACGGCCCGACCCGTCCCGGCCCGGCCCGACCCGGCCCGACCGGACCTTGAATTATATCTGTCACTCCGGGCGCTTTGTTTTCCGTTCAACCAGCCGGCCAAGTTCGTAAACATCGCCCGCTTTCTGCGGCTGTTACAACGTTGTAACGCGAGAATGCGTTATCTCTGTAAATTGACACTGAGAGGCTGTGATAATATAAACACATAGGGCGCCGCGGAACCATACTCGCGCGAACGGGACGACGAGTCGGCGAAGGAAAACAAAGTGGTCGTGTGACGCCCACGTGGTCGGTGCTGCGGATGCAGTTGTTGGCTGCCGAACGACGCTCGCGAGTTACGTTTGTTTACGTCCGCTGATAGTGAGTCGTTTCGTTGGTCGAATACAGTGTTGTATTTGAGACTACTTCTTTTCCGCGGCGAAAATGTCGGGAACGGTAGCCGGGCGATTAAGCCAGATTTCAAATCGAAGGAGTGGGGGTTAGTCACGTGACGTACCGGGACTCTCGTGCAGCAGGAGTGGGGAGCATAATGTTCCTTTCCGGTGGAATTATACCTTTGCGTCGCGTCGCGTTCGTGGTTCATTATTATTCAGAATTATTTAGAATTATTATTATTTAGAATTTCAATTGGAATTAGAATTATTTAGATTAGAATTGGAATTATTTAAAATTAGAATTAGAATGATTTAGAATTAGAATTACAATTAGAATTATTTAGAATTAGAGTTACAATTAGAATTTTTCAGAATTAGAATTACAATTAGAATTATTTAGGATTAGAATTACAATTAGAATTATTCAGGATTAGAATTACAATTAGAATTATTTAGAATTAGAATTAGAATGAGAATTAGAATTATTTCGAACTAGAATTAGAATTATTTAGAGCTAGAATTAGAGTTATCTAAAATCATTTAGAATTTATTTACATATATGGTTCTGCAACCCTTGGAAAAAAGTATTCGAACATCATTTAAAACGCAATAATTTCCTTAAAACTGGACTAAACAAATCTTTTCAAATGTTATTGTTGTAACTATACTGCGGATTTTCATGGAAAATAAAAATATCTTGGCATCAGTTGCAATAGATTGGTGTTTTGATATATTATTATTTTGATTATATTATAATTTTTATATTATTATTATTATTATTATTTTGATATAATAGCGTATTAATATTTTCGAACAAATTAAAATTCTCTCACCGTTTCAAATTGCATCCTCTATCTTTCGTCGTAAATGCATAAAATCCGCAGTTCAGTTATAACTGAATTATTAATTTTCCTCTTTAATTTTTAAATATTAAAGAGTCTAATTCTACTGCACAACGTTCAAGACACGTCTCTTTAATTTCGCTATTACTTGAGCTGACAAAGAATTATGTGATGCATACGTAGACAGTCCTCGAACAGACCTTGTTGTCCAAAAATTTTATGAAAATCGACCAACGTGGCAGCGCGCAGACGTTCCAGTTTCCCATCGACCGGCCTCTTATTTTTTTGGGGCGAGCCGTACATCTTATTTCCGGAGGATCAAAGTACCGTTAGCAGGTTTAAAAGAAGCAGAACCAGGTAACCGCATCGTCTATGAGCAACACCGTGGCGAATAGAATCACGAGGAAACTACGTTGCGCGATCGTAACAGGGTGAAAGCATCCCCCGCGCACGGGAACGCGTCAAAGAAGTCTAAAAACCCAGCGGGATTGAACGATTTTTCCGAAAATCCTCCCCCTGTGCTTGATGGTTCGGCATTTCTGGTGTCGCGCGATTTTTCTGACATTCCTTATCGAGAACGAAAGAGAGTCTTGTGCCTTGTGCTGAGGAAGGAAGCGACTTGTTTTTGAGAGAGAGAGAGAGAGAGAGAGAGAGAGAGAAAGAGAGAGTTTGAGCGAGATAGAGGGAAAGAGAGAGACAGAGAGAGAGGGGGGGGGGAGAAAGAGAGGGAGAGTGAGGGAGAAATTTGTTCTCGAGGGTAAAATAGAGAGAAATTTGTTCTCGAGGGTAAAATAGAGAGAGACTTGTTCTAGGGGGTGAAACAGAGTAAGATTTGTTCTTGGGGGTAAAATAGGGAGAGAGAGACTTGTTCTCTTCAGGCAGTAAGATGGACTTGTTCTTTTTAGACAGTAAGGTTGACAGACAATAAGGGAGACTTGTTCTCGAGAAAGGGAAGATGCAATTCGTTATCGAGACAGAGAGAAATAGAGACTTGTCCTTGGGGGTAAAATAGAGAGAGACTTGTTTTTGTGGGTGAAATAGAGAGAGACTTGTTTTTGGGGGTGAAACAGAGTAAGACTTGTTCTTGGGGGTAAAATAGAGAGAGACTTGTTCTTGGGGATGAATTAGAGAGAGACTTGTTTTTAGGGATAAAATACAGGGAGACTTGTTCTTGAGAGATAGAAAGAGGGACTTGTTCTCTTCAAACAATAAAAGGGAGTTGTTCTCCTTACAGAGTAAGAGGGACTTGCTCTTGACTCATAGTAAGTGGTTCTCGAGAAAGGGGAGAAGCGATTTGTTATTGAGACAGAAAGAAATAGAGACTTGTAAAATAGTGAGAGACTTGTTCTTGGAGGTAAAATAGAGAGAGACTTGTTCTGGGGGGGGGAGGGTAAAATAGAGGGAGAGACTTGTTGTCTAGGTACTTTCTTACTCTCGAGAGGCTTGTTGTCTAAAGATAGTAAGAAAGGACTTATTGTGGTACCAGAAGAATGAAGACTTGCTATTTAAGATAAGAAAGGAAATGACTTGTTCTAGTGATAGAGACTTATTATCGAGGCAGAGAGAAATGGAATCTTGATCTTGGGGGTAAAATAGAGAGAGACTTGTTCTTGAGAGAGAGAAAGAAGAATTTGTTCAGATAGTCGGAAGGACTTGTTATCGAGAGACAGTAACAAGGACTTGTTAGGAAGCAGGAGATTTGTTTTAGAGATAGAGAGATAGAAAGAGTAGGAGACGTATATTTTTGAGACAGAAAAAGAGAGATCTGTTCTCGAGGGACAGTAAAGGGGGACTTGTCATCGAGGAACAGTAAAGGGATTTGTTATTGGAACAGAGAAATAAAGAATCGTTCTTGGGCATAAGAAAGTGTTAAAGATACAGAGTATAAAAGACACATGCTTTTTTTTGGAGAGAGTCAGGGAAAGACTTGTTTTCGAAAGAAACAAGGAGAAAGGGCGACGTGTTTCCGAGAAAAGTTTCAGTCCGTCCTCTCCATAAAAACAGAGAGCCAGCCTTCTAATATTTAATACGCCCTTCGCCTATCCTCCGACATATGGGTCAAGATGCTTCTTGCTACCGTGACACCGTCTCAGCCGCGAGGATCCATAAACCATATGTGGGTCAGCGCAAGCAACGACCCGGGGATTTATAATTCACCAGCTTCTTTTGCGGACCGGTCCTCGATACTGTCCGGCATTGTTCAGCTATCGATTTGCATCGGTCCGCGATGCTGGTCGTTCTTCTTAGATCCATCTATTTCGAGCAGGAGACAACCCAGTGCTCCCGACCTCGTGCAATGTGCACCGTTCTGCAACGTTTCCGTATCGAGGTCCTTCTCGAATCTATTTTCAATTATATTATTATATATCCTCGTTTCTATATATTTTATATAATATACATATTGGATACAAGAGGAGGTCGCAAATGGGAGGGACAGGGCCTGCCATCTCTGAGTGAACGCATTACTCAATTACGCCAGCGACTTTGTTTTGGGCGATGCGCTCACGTGACGAGTGACAGGCGTCCTGCTCTCGCCTGGTCGTAATCGTAGCGGTCGGTCTCGCTCACTCTCTCCGCTACGAACCGTGCGAGAGTCAACACGTACCGTGTCATTGGAGCTGTTAGATATGAGCCGTTTATTTTGAAAGTGGCATAAGTCACTTTGTTTTTAAGTCGAGATATTTAAGGGTTTGCGTTTTAACACGTTTAAAAATATGGATGCTAACTTTCGAGAAGATTTACTTGTATTTGTTATCTCAGGATACTGATATTTTTCTCAGTGTAAATAATTTCGTATAAACATTAAAAAATCACCAATAAATAGTTTAGAAAAATGACTGACATATATTAATTTTGTCCGACGTATTTTACTGAAGTGATGTTTTGAAAGGACAGTGATTTACTAAAATTGTTGAATAAATTACATATATGAGCCGTTTATTTTGAAAGTTGCATAAGTCACTTTTTTTTTTTAAATGAAAAGATACCGTTCAATTGTAGTTAGTGTTACCATTAACTCGATTTTTTTGAAAAAGTTACTTATGCCACTTTCAAAATAAACGGCTCAT